CATTTATATCTCGTGCAACTATGAGGTATGTTTTAGATTTATGTTGCACTTTTTATTGAGACAATTAGATATTTCTTGGTTCGCAAATGAATATGAATATATTAGTTATCTCAGGTAGGCATGGAATTACTTTCAGAAATGTCTTAAAGTTCAAAATAATTTCAATTAAATAATTAGATGTAATAAAGTGCTTATAAAATTGACAGTTTACTAAACAAAATCCAATGAAACGTGATCGTTTATTGCCAAGTGGTCAATGCAAACATGAATGTGAGGATAACAAACTGTGAGACCGTGATGGTAATGGTAAATGGACTGAACTTATAGAGTGCTTTATCAAGCCCCATCGGACCCCAAAGCGCTTCACACTTACAGTCATTCACCCATTCACACACTGATGGTGATAAGCTACATTGTAGCCACAGCTGCCCTGGGGCGCACTGACAGAGACGGGGCTGCCATGCACCAGCGCCATCAGACCCTCTGACCACCATCAGTAGGCAAGGCGGGTCAAGTGTCTTGCCCAAGGACACAACGACTGAGACGGCTGGAATGGTGAACAATTAGTGTGAGTTATGGATCATAGCAACCAGATAGATGTGGAACTTGAACAAGAGAGAAATTTAGCATTATGACATAAAATTTTTAAAAAAAAAGTTTATTTTTGATTAAACAAAAATACATCACTATAACATTATCCCAAAATGATTAATGTATTTTTCATATTAAGTAAAAGTTTGTCACCTCAAGGCAACCAATTTGACATTGTCCTGCAAACACAAAATTCATACATTTTATGCAAAAGTTTTACAAAAGTAAACTGTGTGCTAATTCTGTCCCAATTGTACACACATAGTACTTTTTAGTGTTTATAAGAGAATGTGTTAAAACGCTGTTTCTATGCATGAAATGCTATGCAGAGCTCAGTGATTATTTGGCTGTGTCCAAAACGGCAGGCCGGGTCCTCCGAAGGCCGAATTTGTCGGCCGCATACGTCACAGCGCCGCGACGAGGGACGTCCAAAACCGAAGACTCCTCCGATGCAGCCGACAAATACATCCTTCCTTTTCCCCGATTTGAAGGACAGGTCCGATGGATCCTTCCCGGCCCAGCATATCCCATAATGCACTGCGGCCCGACCGGAGATTTTTTTTATGCTAGTAATGGCGGACGAAGTGAGAGAAAAGAATACATTTTAAATAAAAATATGGTGAAATAAAAATTTAAAAAATTAGCGGTTGTAATTCTAATACTTTAATCATTTGTATGGACATGTTTTTAAATATTATTTTTTCGTCATAAAAACGCGAAATAAACATGAACCTACAGCGGGTCAATTAGTTCTTCAAATGATACTTTTAAGTTAATTTTATAGTTTTGTGATATTATTAATGCTAATGTATTGATATTTTTCTAGTTTTGATTTAAGTTTGCTTGTTTAGCGTCGTCACAGTTGCTAGGTGACAAGACGTACGCCGGGGTGGAGGGGAGGTTAGACCGTCCAAATTCACAGCCTCTTTTTTTCCAGTCCTCCCGGTCTACCAAGGACCCGGCCCGCCGTGACCGAGTAGTCTGGGTCCTCCGGAGGACCCGGCCTGTCGTTTTGGACACAGCCTTTGTTAGCAGTGCTCAGCCGTAGCAAATGAGTTGAGGAATGAAATGTTTCGTGTTTAGTCAGTTCCTTACAACTGGCTCTTTGAGGGCCACCATAACGCTCATGTGGCCCTCGATGAAAATGAGTTTGACCCCTGATTGAAAGGGCAAACAAGTGCAGCAAAACGAGGAGAAATGCAGAGAGGTTTCATTTAAACAAACTGGGAACTGAATATAGTTTTGATATTATGATATAAGGATAAATCTAGTGGGCCACAACATATAAAACCTGGGTTCCCTTTGACTGTCCACACTCTGTCTCATAATTGGACAGAAATCCATGACAGCCTTGAGGTATTTGTCTTTTATGTAAACAAACAAGCTGCACTGGCAGAAGGTTACAAAAATTTGAATCGGCTGCTTTTTGTTGTTTTCTCTCCTGAAAAACCAAACAGTACAGATATGATGGAAGGGTAGGATGTCCATGTTTCCAATGATTTCACCTTGAGGTGCGAAGGTGCACAGCTCATCTTCTCCAAATGTTGAGGTCCATTCACACTCCACTGATGTTCATGCAGGTCTGTTCTGTCAATTCTTACTGCAAGAAGTTTGATTACCCCTCATCTAAAGTGCTTCTCTTACGTTTCACACCTACAGGTCTGGCAAAAACACGTCACAGATGCTGCCTGCGTTCACTCTTCTTATTGAGTGTATTTGTTTAGGAGCATGTCTGCACAAATGTGTCTCTGGAGCCCACCAAGCATCCTGCGCGTCCTGTAATCCCTCATGTTTGGTTCGAGGAGAGACACCTTAACATCGTCTGGCACTCATGTGACAAACCCACGAAGCAACGGGAACGTTTCGGCACAAAAACAGCAGAGGGGTTTTTCAGTTTGACGACCTGTCTGACCTCATGTTCCCCTCATCGCTTCCTCCTCCTCCTCCTCCTCACTTTCCACCCCAACAACAACAACAACAACACAGCTAAAAGACAGGATGTATTCTCTCAGGCGGCCAGCTGAGTGTGGTGAGATTTACTCATCAGATGGATTTTCTCTCGAACGACGTGTAAAACATTCTCCTTCATCCCAGGGTGTTTGTGCTCGCCGTGCGTCACACGAGTTCTTTGAGAAAGAGGGGGAGAAGAGGGAACAAACATAAGTCATTTCCTCGCTGCTGGCACCAACAGCTTCCACTCTTCCAGTCGTCGCTGCCGTAGACAAATAATTCCCTCAAAAGTAAATACGAAACTCAGACGGAGAAACAGAACATTTGCATCAACTCGGCCCCAAATCATTTCTGTAACGATGTGGACTCATTTTCCAGACTTTGCACACACAGCAGGCAGCTGTAAAATCAGCCTTTGGGTTCCTTAATTGTTTTGCTTTTCACTATAAATGAGTCCGCGTCGAGTTATTGTTGACTAACCTTTAAATGCTGCTTAAAACTCACCTTGTTCTGTTTGTTTAAACAAACAGTATATTATATTAATAACATTATGTGTAAAATCTAGTTTTGACCATTGTGGAGGATTGTGCTGCTCCAAGGTTTGTTGTTGCTCTTTTGTTTGGTTTTTCCCATTTCGTATGTCGCGGAAAGAGGTAAGAAATAAACTTTTTTTAATATAAGGTGAGTAGAACTGTTTTCTAGTTGACTGTGTCAACGAGTAGAGTCTATGTTTTCAACGTCAAAACTTTTTATTCATTTACTAGAAATCGAAATTTGCAAGAGTCGTAGTGACATATTTGTGGGGAAAAAGACTATTGAATAGATGGCATATTTTACCTTTTACTAAAAACGTAAAACATCACGGGTGCTCATTGCAACGGCTGAGCACAGCTATGAAACAACAACTGAGCTCTACCTGGTATTTCCTGTATAAAAATAGTGTTTTAACGCATTTTCTCATAAACACTAAAAAAATACTACATGTACGACTGACTAAATGTGAAATAAATAATGCAGATGTAAAAGTAAACGAGTTTTACTCGCTGTTGAGTGGTGAGTTGCCACCGTCTTGAACTCTGAACTCTTGCACTTTCCGACAGGGAATTTAAATTTACAATTTGTTAGTGGGAAATTCTCACCTCCCAGTATGACTGGGATGCAGCAAAAGTAGCCAGAAAAAAAATGCAGTGAAATGGAGATTTCCCTGCATGTGTACCTTCATTTAGTGGTGAGATGTCATCGTTTTGTAAGTAAAATAATCAACATGCATTGTGGGAGATGTTGTTTAAGGTCAATGTTCACTTTAAAGCAGCTTATTCTAAGATGTTATTTCATCTTTGAAGCCGTTGCAGGCCACATACAGTGCCATGGAGGGCCACATTTGGCCTGCGGGCCTTTAGTTTTACCCGTGTTGTAAAGAATTAGAATTGTACTTTACCTATGCTTTTAGTATTACCTCTTTTTAAATCAGCATCATCCTCTCCTATAGATCCTCCCAGGTTTTTAAATGTTGTAAATAAAATATTCAGTTACATGTTACCTTGAATCTGTTGTGTTTATGAAACTAAGATGGTGTCATGATTTAATCATGAGGCTCCAATGCCTCATGAAGCTGTGACAATAAGTTATTCATCGGCTGTCCGCCTGTGGTTTTTCCAGCAGGATTTCCCTCAGAGGGAGCCCCAGCAGACATGAGTGTTACAAATGTTCTGATGTTTTCAAGTGTTAATTACATGTTTAACTGAAAACTAGTTTTGTTTTTTGTAAGGTGACAATCAGAGACGTGCAGTCAGTTTTGTTAATTTTAATTTTAAAAAAAATTGTAATGCGGCGCAAAGAGTTGGTCTTCAGTAAGGAAACTTTACTGTTTGAGAAACAAACTGGACTTTCCTCTGGCCTGCTGGCTCTGACCCGTGTTGACCGGGAGCCTCAGACAGTCCGTACTTTGGGGCCCTGCCTCTCAGACGCTCAGCCCACGATGAGAACAGCTCCTGGACGGAGCCGCTGAGGTCAGCAGTTTGCAGACGGCGTTTCTTTGGCCGCCAGTGGAACTGTGGAATTTCTCTCCACCTCGCCATCTTTCTTCAGGGGACAGTTCTGCCTGTCCTGCAGGACCCTGCACGTCAGCCTGGACCCTCCATCAGCTTTCACCTCTGCAAGACTCAGGTTTACTTTGTTGATAGGGTTTGAAATGAGGCTTCTGAAGCAAAAAAAAAAAA